TCTGTTTCGTTGATAGATCGTCGTGAACACAAAATGCATGAGTCAGTCAAAAGAACTTCCTAAGACGTGCGTTTTATGTCTTCAGTTCACAGGGCAATATTTGATTGGATCAAATCAAAACATTCTGTCTTTGAATGCTAAAGATTTAAAATGTTTTCATAGCAGGATTTTTGCGATTAATTAATTTTGTTAATCAAATATAGCAAAGGAGTAAAGAATATTGAAGAACATTATAAGATTCATGAATTTCATAAACAAGATCCATAGCTAGAATTTTATTCATTATTGTGCTGGACAAGGAAGTTCTGAAGCAGATACATCTTTGTTAGATTGAATTCGTCTAAGAGCTGAAACAAGTGTCTTCTATAGAAGAAACACTCAAAGCCAAACCAGAACAGTGGAGTCAGACAGTTTCTCTCTATTCTATCGCTATTTCCATGGAAAGTGTTCAGATGAGCTACATTCCAAAGATCCACCAACATTAACCTTGCTCGAGCCCGCTACGCCGCGTACACCAAACCGAATCACTCTCATTCCTTTTGTCCTTCATTGCTTAGAATGAAGTTCCACTCGAACAGCTTATTCCAACAAAACCGCTACTTTATAGAACCGATTCCCAAGAGGATTCTTTCCCGACCACTATAATCTTAACCTGTTCAAGGTTTAACAGATATCTTTCCAACATATCTTCATAAACTGCACATCTTTCATCTCACCGCTCGCATAACAACCTCCTAACCCTCTATCTTGAGTGGCTCTTGAGTTTCTATAGCGTGAACATTAGTAAAATGTATGTATATAATATATAACAAGATTTTGCTATATATTTATGGGAAAGAGTGTTCAATAAAGGGGATACAGCATTTGTAGTTATAGACAGTGTAGACAGAGATCATATGGTCACTTTTATTTAAATAAAATATTTAAATAAAACATATGGTCTCTTATTTAAATAAAGTATTCACCAAAGGAGATGGTATCTTGAAGTGCATATGATATATTTAATGTGTGTGCACACACACACACACGCATATATATATATATATATATATATATATATATATATATATATATATATATATAAACAAACGACGAAAGTGAAATTTTTAAAAAGTGTTTTTTAACAATTCAGTATATATTTACGCAACTGTTTTTAATTCTAGCGTTCTCACGTTTGATGGAACAAATTTCAAATCACTCAAGATGACGTCATATAAACGTTCAAACTTAAATTTTATATATATATATATATATATGTGTGTGTGTGTGTGTGTTTTTGTGTTTTATATAAATAAGTAAAATCATATTATTTTTGGTGCGGTCTTGTTCCCAATAACCGTTACACATGACGTCACAGTAGACTCTTTCAAACTTCCAGTTTTCTAAAGAAACTTCCAGTTTTCCAGTATATAAATAAAGCCCACCACACAGATAACATATTGGTTCTTGAAGATGACTGAGACGGTCAAAAGTACTTGAATAAAAAAAAAAAAAAAACATTATATAAGGAATATTTAGGCAATTCTCCCCTAACACTTTCTTTTCTCGCACTTCCCACCCGTGGAATTCACTTTCGATTTCTTGTTTCCCTGATAACTACAATCTTCATAAATGCAACATCAATCACCATCTTTTGTTTTCTTGAACCCTGTTTCTTTTTGTCCTTTCCTCAATCCTTCCCGTTCTCTTTTACTCACTGTACCCCGACCCCCCTTGTTTTTATCGCCTTGGTTGGGTTAAAAGAAAAAGTATTTTTTGTATCGAAGAAAGAGTCAGAGTTTCTTTTTCGCAACTGTTCTACCAAAAAAAAAACTTTCATTTTCGAAGATATATAATAAGAAAGTCTTTTTTTTTTACTATTAGGATTCTTCTACTTGAAGTGTTCTCAAAATATTTTCGCAAAATTTTTTAGCGGAGTCAATGGTGGCATTATGTTCAATATCATTTGTAAATTTTCCCCAAAACAAAAATAAACGACATTCAGAAAAGAAAAAAAAATCATGAAACAAGATTTGGAATCGAAATCATTTAAAACATTTTATGTCAACCAGGTCGTTTCTTTAACATGGAATTAAAAAAAATCGGATTTCACCGTAGACATCAGGGTATACAACTCAACCATTTTAAGAGCAATATGGAGGTATTCAATAAGGAACGAATTCCTGGTTTGGGAAAGGTATGAATCCACCTCTACTCCCACAGCTATGAGTTAATTAGTAAGACTTGTATCACTAAACAATTATTATCTCGAAAAAACAAAATTCTTATAATATAAAAATATTTTCTGGCTTTAAATAGCCTGTAAAGGGTTGATAAGCCGTAAAAAATGAATGAATCAAACTTTATCAAACATTCATGTTTTTATTTTAGCTTATTAACTCTAATATGACTGACAGCCATATTTAAGAAATTTTGCAACTTTACTTCTTCTATTTTCTGTCTGAAAAAGGATTAGAATATTTACAATTAACATTGTCGAATGTAAGAAAATTTGCTTTTTAAATTATTGAAAGTAAAAATGTCTATAACAGGCTGACATGAAACAAAAGAAATCAAAACTCATATTATAGCAGCCTGATTTCCACTACTTACTAATATAATTTTTCTTTGCTCTGCTAACATGAGACATGTACACTTTTAGCATCGAATCATGCCTCGTGCTGTCATAACAAGTGAACATCTCAAAAAAATAAAATAAATAAATAAAAAGAAAGGTGATCAGGTTGCAGACCCAATAAATACATGAAATTATATTGTGTTTAATATTCTAGAATAGGCAGTGATTATTATTATTAATTTGGTATGTATATTTTGAATCATTTTTTTCATTCTTTTTTAATTTGTCATGAATCTTGAGATATACAGCAAGAGCGCAAGATCAAATATGGCAGCAATACTCAATACACTGACGAATGGTACAAGATGGATCCTAATCTTGCCTCTTATGATTTACACTATTTACATTTGTTCGGGCTATTGTCCTATATCCTCATCTTTGTTGTCATATTCACGACGTTTCAGACTTCTTCAGGTGATATACGTTGGCATTTCAAACCGAACCCTTTATTTCGTCCACCGATGTAGATTGTTCTAGTTCCACCTGCCATGCCTTTTATTTTGGATATCTCAGTTTCAGTTATTTCCCTTTATTAGCTCAACTCTCCAAACTTTTGTTCACCCCTGCTATGGCAAGGTATCGAACTCACAACTCTTTGGGTCAAGTCACTGGATTACTTCAACCAACGCCTTTATCTACTGGGGATATCAGCGTATGAATTTTGGGGACTTATAAACCTAATGTCTCAGTAACCATTTTTTACCATTTATTGTTGTTAATGTATTACTGGTTCCCATATTGCAGTCATGTCTATCATCTAAAGAAGGCCGGGGCGTACAACGGCCGAAACGTCGTGAATATGACAATAAGGATAAGGACAATAGTCCGAACAATGTAAATAGTATAGATAGTTACAATAACTCATCACAGAAATATGGGCAGACGTTTATTACTAATTTTCTTAATAAAGCCATGGTCTGAGTTCGAAAGCATTTGGGTTATTTTCTTTGAACTGAACTCACAACTCTTTGGGTCAAATGACTTTTGGATTACTTTAACCTACGCCTATATCCACTGCGTCACGTGTCCCTGTGGACTAAATAAAGGGTTCAGTTCGAAATTCCAACGTATATCACCTGGATTAAGCCGGAGCGTACAACGGCCGAAACATCGTGAATATGACAATAAAGATGAGAACAATCGTTCGAACGATCTAAATAGTGGAAATAGTTACGCTATCTCATTTTAGAAATATAAACAGATCCTGAAGAAGGCCGAAGCGTACATCGTGAATATGACAATAAAAAATGAGGACAATAGTCCTAAAAAAAAAAATGTAAATAGTGGAAATAGTTTCAATATCTCATATTGACAGATACTGTTGAGATTTATTCCACTGTTTAAGAAAAAAAAAAAACTAATGTCAACTGAAACTCGTATACCTACTAAAAATAATGTTTATGGTAATAACAAGATTTGTGCATAATATAAAGACAAATCATTTTTATTATAAAATGCAGCACTAGTAATTTTAGAAATACAGAGTATCTTTTATCTGAAATTCCAAAATCTCAAAAGATTTCAGTCGCTGACATGACTTGCCACAAATGTAAAATTTCAGAAAGCAACATGGCTACCCGTCGCATTATTACGTTGCAGCCTTAGAAATAAAAGGCTGATTTTTTTTTTTCAGTTTTCATTACATTTAACTGGAATCAGAATCTATGTTTTGTTTTTTTATACAAATACTGTACCTGTATGTATTGTAACATTTTAATCAAAACACGACATCGTTGGTAGAAACTGATAGCTTATCTTCTCACACTCAAAGTGATGTCATCGATGATTTAGCCACCTCCCAGTTCCTCCAGTTAGTGTTTAGTGATGCATTTATCTATTTTTGTAAGTAGTGATCATGTCTTTTGCACACGCACAGAAAGTACAAAACATTATTTTTACGTGAAATCTTAATTTCACCACATAATTTTTTTTTTTTATATAAAACTACTTTCAGGGTTTATGTATAAGGTATGTTATGAAATGTAAAGGGATATTGTGTTTATGCTTGGGTTCCATCCCCAAGCTGCATCATTTTATAGATGCTACATACAAATTAAAATAGCCTGTATTCCAAAATCCGAAAAAAAAAAAAAAAAAAAAATCTGAAAACTGAAGCACTTCCGGTCGCAAGAATTTCGGATAAAAGATTCCCAACTTGTATATTGAAAATCAAAAATAAAGTGATTGACAACGACTCCGCAAAAATGCACGTGATCCTAACAGAACAAAGATAGTAGAACATACTACTATACTATATTAGATCGTAGAACATACTACTATACTATATTAGATCGTAGAACATACTACTATACTATATTAGATAGTAGAACATACTACTATACTATATTAGATAGTAGAACATACTACTATACTATATTAGGTTTATGGCCATATCATGTTCAAACATCGGTTCCCGTGCGATCACCGAAGTTAAGCAACGACCAGCCTAGTCACTACTTAGATAGGTAACTGCTTGGGAATGACAGGTGCTGTAAACTTGGGTGATGTACGTGTGACGTAATAGATAAGGACACAGAATTGTTAATCGGGGAGCCGAGTTCCACCAATTCCACTCGGGTTCATTATATTTACTTATGCACAAATACCCTAGGGAAATTATGAAACCACATCTTTTCCCCCAACTATGGGTTAATTATTAAAACTTGTATCACTAAATCATCATCATCTACAAAAATAAAAAATAAAATTCTTAGATTAAAAATAAAAAAAAAATTCTGGCTTTAAATAACCTGCAAAGGGTTAATAAGCAGAAAACAGATCGATCAATCAATCACTATACTAATTACTAAGTATAGTATAAGTCAATGTATGAATGATTAATATTGAATGTTAATTCCGTTTGGAATTACGCAAAAAGGCAAACGCACTCTAGCAGATACGCAAATTGTTATATCGGAATGTGATATAGGTCTTTTAAAACAATGCTAATTAATTTTCTTGTGATAACTTTAGCGTCATTTCTCATGGATGATATATAGAGAAAACTACGTGTTTCCAGTACGGAGGTGCTCTAAATGCACTGAAGGTGGTGGTGGTGGCATTTTTGCTTCGGGAAAATAATATATATTGGGAATTTAATATCATAACATCTACAAGCCGCCACGGTAATTTCACAAGACTTGGTTATCACGTACTGCTCCTGGCCTCCCCTTTTGGTTGAACTAACATTCGTCATGCCGTATCTCCTGCTGTGAGCTCTGGAGTCCGTTTTCCCCAGATTGCCTCGTGCAATAAACATGGTCTCTATTCCCTACTACGTAACTGAACGAGCGACGAAGTGATACTCTACCCTTTGAAAGGAAGAAGGACGTCAGGAAGCTTAAATAAGTGGGGTTAATCGGGAACCAACGAAAATATAGTGTTCGCATTTTGAGAAACATATCTAACATCGCCCCCCTTTCATCCATTCTTAAATGAAGAGAGAGTCAGTTGACTGTGAGTGGGTGATGGTGGAATGGAACAGAGGAGGAGGTTATTAAAGTGTAAAAGGTTGTCAGGTTTAAATCGGCAAAGCGTTTGTGGGTTTAGGGGAGAAATAGGTTAATCCAGTGCATTTTGTTGGCGTTTCTGTTGGCGTTTTGCTTTTTTTTTTTTTTTTTTTTTTTTTTTCTACTTAAAAATTTGGTTGGAATTGGTAATTACATGAAATCCTTGATTAATATTCTTCTCATGCCTGGAAGAAAATGTAAAATGTTTATTTACTCACGCGGGAAATAATTACACTATATTGTCCCAAACCGTTTACTACTGTTTCTGTGTGTCATGTCCCTTCAGGACGTGGGCGATTATAGCTCTCCACAACCTCCTATCCTTTGTAGTTCTTAGTGACGATTTTTTTTTACCATCCCTCCCACTCTTCGTTCTGTCATCCATTAACATAAGAAGGTCAGATCGTTGGCCCTTTTGCCACTCCACTGTCTCTTTTGCCTTCGATGTTCCATGGGAGTGTCAAATTTTCCAAGCACCTCTTCCTCATGATGCTTCCCCAGTTGTGTCTTTCTGAGTATAAGTGTCTTTTTTTGTTTCCCTTTTCTTCAAGAGTTCCTCGATTCTTACAAGCTCTGTAAATGGTGCAAAGTAGAATTTTTTTTTTATTGAAAATTCGCTATTCTCAATATTACTAAAAAAAAAAAAAATCGATGGTATATTTTAATCTTTCTTTATGGTCATTCAACTCTGGATTCTATTGTTTAGGTGCGCAAACTATTATGGGTCCTACCTTAATACAAACTTTTATATATATATATATATATATATATATATATATATATATATATAAAACTAATTAACTTCCTTGTCCGAATTCATTTTTTTTGTCGTTAATTTTTGATCAGTTCTTGTATTGATCAAAGGCTTTTTTCAATTTTTTTAAGGAGACATTGGGTGACTCATGAGTCTCAGATATATATATATATATATATATATATAATATATATATTTGAGAACTAGGCAGCAACATTTCTTTTAAACATCTTTCATTTAAATATGGCAGACAAGGAAAATTTAAATAGTAAATAAATAAAAAAATAATTAAATTTTCCTTGTCTGCCATATTTAACGAAAGATATATACATGCAACACCTTTCGAAATAGTAATACTCTATTGAGCCAATATTGGCAAAACACATACAAATTTTTGCAAGTTAAATGTTAGTGGCATTCAGTATTTCCTTCATAGGAAATATAAGCATAAAGTTGAATTAACAACTTCAGAATTTAGCGATCAATTTATCCACTGATATAAAGAGAAATTGTTCCTGGCAGATTTGAATAAAGGTTTACGTCCAGGAGAGAAATCTTTGGCGTTTCTTGGCTAAGTTGCCCAAATTCTCACTTTTCTTCTTCAAGCAATCTGCGGTTTGATGTAATTAGAAACGAAATATTATTTCAGCATTTTATCATGTTTTTTTATGCTGGCGTCGACCTAATTAGAAACGCCTTCTCAAGATATGTAATGCCTTTTTATGCCCTGCAAAAACCAGATTAGGTTGACGACTGAATTAGGTTCGTCTGTACTTATATCAAACAGTAGATATAGATAGAAATACTCTCGTTACATTTTGGGTCATTTTTTTAAAATATTTTGTTTTGCTAAGAACCCATTTATATAATTTATCAAAAATGTACATTATTTGGATCTTTTCTGTTAATTCACCCCAAATAATGTAAAGTTACTGATCTCAAATATTAAATCACTTCAAAAAAACTATCAATTTTAAATCAAACTTTGTTTCTCATCTTTTGAAATTATAAATTAAAAATCAAAATTTGTTTGGCTTGCCTCGCAATAACTCCAGCCATAAAGACGAAAAATACCAAAAATCTAGGAATTATACACATTTCGTAAGTGCGGGTGTTATTCGAGGGACTTACAAGGAATATTTACAATTAAAAAAAAAATCTGTTCGGCTTGTTTATCGGGGTGAGCGCGAACGATGACCCCAGCTTTAGAAATAGCCCAGACTTGGGGCGATCGCAATGGTCAATCCAACCGGAGTGCAAGGGAAGGGCCTCACTCTGGTAGAATTTGGTGTGAATTTTAGTAAATATAAATTCTTTTTATTTTGGAGTGAATTAATAGAAAAATTCCTATTATTTTTTTCTGGAAGAAGTTCTATCGATCTTTGGTATGGTTATAAAGCGTGGATTTATAATTACGAGATTATCTTTAGTTTATTCCCCAAAGACAGAGTACAATTATATTTTATTCAATTATGCATTCACCATTGTTTGCAATGATTCGTTGCCACTTATTAGGCAGCACCCCCTAACCGAGTAAAATTCCGCAGCATTTGATGCGAAATATTTTTTCGTCAAACTTTTGAATCTGGTGTTCTTCAATAAATGATATTTTTAATATGGTACGCACAATGGCCTAACATGAAAATGGTAGTCTGATTTTCTGGATGTTGATTTTAAGCAAGAAGAGAAAAACAATGAATGACAGAACGTGGAGAAAAATGACAGCCTAAGATTCTTAGATACGAAGCCGGGTGTGGAAGAAAGCAAAAGATGCGGACATCATATCCTTATAGATAAAATAAAAGATTCCGTTTTACTAGAAAACAACGATAGATATCTGAGGAAGGCATTTTAATTTTAGCTGTTTTCATCGTAACTACTTTGACCGCTCGTCTACAGGCAAGGTTGAAACAGTTTAGTCATAGACAACTTTATGTTCATATTTTTTTAATATCCTAAAGACAATGGCTTAACAGATAAAATCGGTAATCTGGTTTGCTGAGTGTTGATTTTAACCAAAAAGTGTATGTGTACAACAGAGGAAAACAGAGAGAGACAAATCTCGGAGAAGAATGACAAAGACTGAAATTCTTAGAAACGAGTCCGAACGTGAAAAACCACCAAGTCGTCGATTTCTAATCATACCCGAAATACTGATGATACAAAATCACAAACGAAGAGTTATATCCAAATCGATGGTGAGTCCTAAGCCGAAAGTATGGAGTATCTCTATTCAATCGTATCCCGCGAGACAAGCTTACAAAGAAAGTATATATATATATATATATATATATATATATGTATGTATCGGTGGGCAGAAGGAATTTACCCTGGAGATTTTCTGAGTTACCTTGAAAATAAGCACCTTTTGCGCTGATAACGTAGAAATCGTTTGCACTGTAGAGAGGCTCCCACTTCCTGCCAAGCCACGTCCGCTTCGTACGCCTATGGCTACACCCAATAATAAAGATCATATCACTTGAATTCTTCAAACAACAATCACAATAATAAAAGTGGGTAACATATGTCAATAGAAGAGAAACTGAGGATAAAAACAAGCAGTTAGCTTTCCACACGACCATAAACAAAAAGTTTGGAAGGAAACTACCATTGATACGAGAAAGAGCGATAATAGTTAGTGGAGTTGATGAATCTAATTTCCTAAAAAACTATTTCAAGAAAAAGATTTTACAAATTTCAACTTACTGTAATAAATCTCCAGTGTTTCTTGAATGGAAACAGCCAATTTCACCATTACCATTCACCCAAGAAACAAAACAATAATTATGTTTATTTATCAACTTCTTTATATGTAACTTTGGTATGATGGTTATCTGCACGAGAAACTATAGCATAATTGGAAGTTCCAAATTTGGTTGAGGCTATTTGTATTAATTTTAAACTAATACATTTGAGAAAGGCTTAAACCCATTCTTCCCTGCGTTCTGTTTCATTGCTTGAAATCTTGATGAAAATGTTTTCTAGCATGTCACGATCGCTGACGAAATTGTAAGTCGGCAAGTACGCATTTTGGTTAACCATTGCCGTAGGCTGTAATAATTGTAAAAAACTGTTACACACTTTTTCAATCTTGACAGCGGGAGGAATGCAGTATTTTATGTAACTTTATAACCAGATACGCTTAAGACCGTGGCTTACGGCCACATCAATTTGAAACACAATCACCAAAATTAAGCAACGATGAGCTTGGTCAGTAGCTCGATCGATGACC